TAGAGAGACTACTCTTGGTGTAAGTATTTTAAGATTGGTCAGTATAGTTAATTTGCAAACTCAGGGAGATAAGTGAAACGGACTTCACTGACAGGCTCTACAGTGTCAGGCCTTATAATACTGTGAATGGGGATAAGGCTAATTTGATTGATATTTTCATTACAACAGCTATTTACTTTAGTAAATATGTCAAGGTCATATGTAAATATGTCAGGAAGCTCGGTGGAGTAATGGATAGCGGCTCGGAATCGGAGAGCCGAGTTCGAAATCCAGTCAAACACATTGCATTCACTTCCGTGCTAATACCCTTGGGAAAGGTATGAATCCTCTTCTTCTCTCCCTCAACTTTGGATAAATAGCAGGACAGACCGGGTTCTATAGGCTTGAATGTCAGAGCATTCAGGCGAATTGTTACAATTCTTACAGCTTCGTGCATTATATTTTCGTCTGTATACAAACTGCGGTGTTAACAGTGCAGAAATTTGTTTCAGCGACCCGGATTCAAACTCTAGCGGGGACTGGGTTTAATTCACACGAATGCCCATGAGAAAGGCATTAATTTTATAACTACTCTCACGCATCAAGCTATGGATTAGACAGTAGAGAAAACAGACTGTCTAGTTTTGGTTGCAAGCCAGTCTAGGAGAAAAACAACTTTGAATTCAAAACTGTGAAGCAAGCAATGAAAAACCTCTCTCCTCTCAAAATTGTGAAGAAGGCAGCATTATCAAAAGACGACACTATCAAAATAGGAAAAATGTAACAGGAAACCCCTTCTCTATGTTTTCCAATAACATTCAAAGACCTAACCATGGATGATTGCGATTTTAGCTTTGGCAAAAGCCATAAATCGCACAACATCTAGAGTTGGTGTTGGGGATATTTACGATATTCAAGATGGTTAGATGCCTTTCGCTCATTCTAAGGAATCCCCGGATTTACTTCTAATTTTATTAACCGTCGATTTTCTTTTTGATTGCAGCCAACACGCAATCAACATTTAAAATGGTTCTGCTTGTTGAAGGTCTCTCTCAACATGTATCGCTTTCGAAGGATTGAAGCGCCGTTATCAACATTTTATTTCTGTTTCGAGCCATTTTAATCATTCGAATAATTGTCGCGGTCAAATGTTTGATGAATATTCGCGGTGAATACGACGGTTGCACGATACATAAGGTCATTCATTTACTATTCATTGCCAACTAATCCCGCGGAGAGTGTCTGTTCATGCATGCGAAATAAGGTTCTCTTTGATTAGCTGTAAAGCCGCAACCGGTTCTTTCTTGTTCTTCTATGTGCCGTTTTCCTTCACGACGTGGGCAATCGTGGCTCTCCACAGCTTCTTATTCATTGTGATTCTTAACAGCATTTCTTTTTTCTTCATCCCCATTCCGCATTCCATTTACTCAAGCTAGTCAGGTATATGGCCCGCTGCCCGCTTCTATTTCTCAATATGCCTTGTGAGGGTCAAATTCTCCAGGCCTTCCTTCCTCATAATGTATCCAAGAAACTTCAACTGTCCCAGAAAGAATCACACGCCTCATTCAGAAAAATCGCTTTGCTGATTTTTATTCTCTCCCTTGAGTGGGCTAACGACCACATCACGTTGAAATAACCGAAGTTAAGCAACGTTGAGCATGGTCAGTACCTAGATGGGTGTTCGTTTGGGAATAATAGTTACTGAAGGCATGGATGTGTAGTTGGACTCGGATAAGGTGGATGCAAGTGGTGTAATAGACAATGACACTTGGAAATGGTATGCATTCATCTCTTCTCCCCCACCTATGGGTTAATTAGTAAAACTTGTATCTCTAAATCAATAATATCTTTTAAAAAGTTCTTACAAACTAAAAGTATTTTCTGGCTTGAAATTACCTGCAAAGGACTGATAAGCCGTAGAAAACGAATCAATCAATAAAATCTACCTTGAGTGATTCTCAAGCCTTGAACTTTGAAAGTTTTTTCGGTACAGTAGTTTATACATTAATCTGTTTATTATTAGCAATTAACATACACTAGTTGCTACTCTGAGTATAAGTGCTCTTTTTGTTAACATTTTCTTTTTGAATTCATTGTTGCTTACTCGCTTCGTCTATGGAATTCTCAGCATTCTCCAGTAGAACCATATTTCTGCTGGTTCCAGTTTTCTCTTCATCTGTCGGGCGATTGTCTTTTTTTTTTATTTCTATTCTTTTAAAATTTCTTGCTTACTAAGATGTTCTGTCCTTTGCATGCTCAGCATCCTTCAGTAAAACAACATCTCTCTTGTCACAAGACTCGTCTCTTCATCTGTGAATAAATGCCAAATATTCACTACCAAACAAGAGGATTGATATCGCATAGTAGTACAGCAGTCTTTTCTTTGTTTCTAACGAATTTCTCCTGGACATTCAAAATGGATACTTTTCTGATAGATCTTGACTATATTATGTTGAGTCATAAGTAATTTCCATTTTTGTATAACAATTATTATATTTAGAAGAATAAAACCCATAAACAAAAACTGACATAGGACGGTAGATGCCACGCCCGACAATGAAAGAAACAGTGTAAAACATATATCTGTGCAAGCCAGAAGGGTTCACCCGCTTTATCTATTTTACCAACGCCGATGCAATTAACAGGCGGGTGATCGAAAAATAAAATGCGATTTTATTTTTTGTTTGTCCTCTATTTTTCTCTCGCGCTCATCCATCAACCGAAATAACGCGTGATAGTTATCAAATAGAAAACAAATATGGCGTTTTACGAGAGAATTCCTGGCCTATTTTTATGTCCGATTGTAATGACGAGTGCTAAAATCAGTGTTGAACAAAATTGTTGTTGATAACCAATTTGCAGCAGAAGATGATACTCTATAACGGATGCGTCACAAAGAGTTTAAAAAGAAATGAATTCAACATGGGGAGGAATTATATATATATATATATATATATATTAGTGATTTCAAGAAAAGCAGCAAAACTACTAAGAGATACATTTTTACTAGGCGTGTAACAATGAGAAAACAGAAACATTATTAAGAAGCGAGAACAATAGAAGAGTAATCAGGAAGACAGTAGATAACGGTTGATATTCTATTTAAATTTTTGAAGATAAAATTGACTCGAAAGAATGGAGTCGGAAGAGTGTTCCACAAGCGAGAAGTGCGAGAGAAGAAACTTTTAGCATAGAACTTGCGGTTACATCTAGCCATTTCAACTGTAAAATGATGAGATCTTAATGCCAATTTACTGCTGCGCTTAAATTCATATAGTCTAAGAACCATAGCGAAGAGGTCATCCGAAAGATTACCAAGAAAGTATTCATAGAAAAGGCACAGGGAAGCAACTTTATATCGTGGGATTGTAACTAACGCCAGACGCCAGATCAGGGACAATAATATTCCTGATTTTTCTTAGGATTTTATCAAGAACATCTAAATATATAGCAGGAGCATATGTGGCGGCAATATTCTAAGCATGTACGAATGGTAGATTTATAGATATGTAAGATTCTGGGGTTACAAATTGTCTAGCACGCCTCAGTGAACCAACTTTCTTAGCAGCTGACCTAGCAATGGATTGAATATAGTCTTTCCACTTCCTGCCAATGTTAGCCCGAGAAGGTGCAATGAGTCTCTCTCCTGGGCGTTATCATTAGCCATGTTGATGGAAGGCAGAAAGGTAGGTTGCTCAGAACAGTTATGTTTTGGAGGCATTAAAATTAACCAGCCATTCTTTGCCCAAGTTACTGTCGGCCATTTTTAAGATCAGCCGCCAATTTGACCTTATCGAACTGTTCCAACAAACTATCGAGGCACTGAATGATTGTGTCATCAGCATAGATAACAAGTTGAGACCTGATGGCATTGGGAGGGCCGTTAATGAAAATTAAGAACAAATTAGGGCCTAGGATAGAGCCCTGGAGGACACCGTCATTAGAAGAAAAGGATATTTAAATAAAGAATAACAATTCAAGAAGAGCGAACATGTACTTATAGACAAGGAAGAACCCCCCTCCCCCCACTGCGGAGGGAAGTAATGTTTTCGTGCCGGAAGCTCCAATACGAACAGAGTGTTTGGGTGTCAATCTGAAGACAGTGCAGAGGATTCGGAAAGAGTTGGATGAGTCTAATGGTGATTACGAAGGTGTTTGAAGTAATCACAGCTTGAAATCCTTCGCTCACTAATTGAAATCCTTCCCTCATCGAAGGAGATCCCAAAGTAGACTGAAGGGTGAAAGGAGCCACATATGGTCCGATGCTCCTGCTATATATTTAGATGTCCTTGATAAAATCCTAAGAAAAAATCAGGAGTATTATTGTCCCTGATGTGTTATGTCTCCATTCATCTTCCCATAGAGCCTTAGACTCAACAGAGGGGCCTATGTCAAGTGCGTTGAGGAGGTAGTACTGCCCTGGATCAAGAGGGTGACTGCTGGAAGAGCCTATATCTGGCAATAGGACTCTGCATCATGACACAAAAGCAGGAGAACCCAGTCATTTCTGAGACCCCATCACCCCTTACATTTGGCCACCTAACCCCCAAGACTGCAACCTCTTTGATTATTATGTATGGGGCGCAGTTGAACGAGAGACTAACAATGCTCCTTGTAACACCAAAGATGAACTGAAGGTAAGGTTTATGGCATCATTCACCAACTTAAACAAGGAGACCGTCCAGAAGAGATGAAGGAGATTCCAAAGTAGACTGAAGGGTGCAGTTTAAGCCAATGGCGATTTTATTGAATAAAATTAGTGTTTACTATTTCAAAATATTTTTTGTGTCATTTTGGTAAATATATCTGTTAAAATGAGATATCAGTAATATTTTCATTTTTTTTGTGCGTAATTTAGACGACAATTTATCCATCGCACTCTGTAGATACGATTTTGAAATACAATGAAGTGAGATGCCTGGCGGATGTTTTGACTCACTTTGTTCTACGCAGCTTCTATCTCTTTTTAAATTAACGGGGGTGTATTTAGAAAAAAAATTATGTTTTTTTTTTTCACTTACCAAAACTGGGCACATATATCCTCACATTCCATGTAGTTGAGCAGGAATTTGATTCCTTGGTAAAGAAGAGCCAGCACACCGACGATGACACAAGCAAAGACCAAAGCTGAAAAGAAATGGACGCTAAATAAAGATACGAAATAAAGTAAAGAAATCAAGACAAAGAAAAAAAAAAAACAAACGAATAAAAACAACAAAAATAAAGAGAATCTTAAAAAAGAAAATTAAAAAAAAAAGAGAAGCAGAAAGGAAAAATAAGGAAGAAAGGAAAGGAAGAAAAAAGTAAAATACGAAAAAGAAAAACAAGAGAACAGTGGGTGAATGATTTGTTTTTTTTTACGGCTTATCAACCTTTTGTTCGTTTTTAAGAGCTAGAAAGCATTTTAGGATTGTAAGAATTTTTTCTGAGATAACGATTTTACTTATAGCGGTCATACTCTTTATCCCATAGCTGGAGGAGAAGAGTTGAATTCATACCTTTCCAATAGGTGTTTGTGTGTAAGTGAATATAAGGAATCCTATTGGAATTGAAACTCAGCTTTCCAATTCCGAGCCGTTGTCCATTACACTAACCCTACGTTCAGGCTTACAATATTTGTTATTCCCAAGCGTTAACTCATCTAGGTACAGACGAGATTCGATATTGCCGACCTTCGGTGATCGTACGAGAACGAACGTTTGAACGTGATATGGTTGTAACCCAAGAGAACAATAAAAAAAAAAAAGAAGAGAATATGACGATATATGCATAATAGAATTTTATTATAGAAAAAACTAATTATATTGCTCTAGTAAAACCTTTTACATAGAACGAGAAAGAAAAATTTCAAAGTTCTGTGTCACATAATAGGGAAAGGAGGTCTAGTGCTAAACACCCACAAAGCGTAGTGAAGTCAATTGACAGTAGGATACGAACTGGGATTTATAAGAGACATACATTGATTAGAGTGACAAAGGATAGGAAATAGTGGAGAACCATGATCGCCCACATCCTTTAAGGGATACAGTATATAAAAGAAGAAGAAGAATGCACTGAAAATCAGTGAGGGAAGGATTTCAATTGATTTGCATTTAATGCAAGCGTTACAGAAAGAATAGAGGCATATATAAAGATATTGCTGATAATTTTTTTTATAGAGAATTATTTTAATATAAAATTGCATTGAAAACCAAGAAAGAAATTGCCAGACGCTATTGCGAGCATGCTATATGCATAGACAAAAAACAAATGTGCTATAAAAGAAACGTGTGCAATATAATGAAAAATGTAAGTAAAAAAAACACGAAAAATATCTATTTTAGAAACTAAAATTTATACAACGTGGCCATTGAAAAACTGGAGATTTGAAATAGTTATAGCGTGTTCATTTTCAATTATTTTTTTAAAAAATTTGTAGGTTATAAAGTATCCCTTGGGAATTAAAATGGCTACGTATGATGTCCAGCAACGAGGAGAACTCACTCCAATGAAAGATCAATTATTCAAACTCAGAGAAAATACATTTTAATATCAGAATATCTCCTAGCGATAACATGATTCGGAACTTAATCACCCGGATTGAAAGAACTGGATCAGTCAACGATCTTTTGTGAAGAGGTTCTAAGTACAACAGAGTGTCCTTGAGGATCCATCAGCTTTTATCCGTGGTCGCTCTGCTTAAATAGGCATCGCCAGAATGTTGCTTCAGAAAGATTCTAAAACCCAATGGAAGAATGTTTCCATCCCAATAAAATAATAATTAAAAAAAAAAAGTGTTTGTAAAAGTTATTTTTGTTTTATGCCCTTCAGTGGCTACTTTGTTCTTTTTATCCGTGACATGTGTGCGCGTGTGTGTAGAGATACACACACACACATACACACACATACATAAATATATATATATATAGTCTACCGTTTCTCAGCAAGGTAGATTAGAAAAAAGAGCTAAAACTTTAAGGAAACTTCATGCAATGGACTAAGTTTGTTATTATTATTATTATTATTATTATTATTATTATTGTTTTTATTTCCTTTGATTTCTGCCGTGTACACATTTCTTTCCGGGTCCCGCCCAGAGACCTAAGGGTTAGAAATGCCATCATGACACTTTCCACTGACAAATATATATATATATATATATATATATATATATATAAATATATATATATATATATATTACATAGATAAAGCCCTTCGTAATGTGTGGGCTGTACTTGTGAGAACAGGTTTTTGTATTTCTTTGAGACATGAGCTTCCACGAAACCCCTCATTTAGTCTACTGGAGTCTTTTCCCAACCAATTCAACAACAACAGGGATTGTTGATGTTCCCATGTGCCACATTATTATTATTATTATTATTATTATTATTATTATAAGAATATTATTAAAATTCTTGGATAAGATAAAGTCTATCTGATCCAATGTGGGCTAGTAAATTAGTTTTGAAAAAGCCACACAGCCTTCAATTTTGATTCGATTCTTTGAAATCTTTATAATTATCGGTCTTTCTGCGTAATCTCCAATGAAACCAAATGGTAAACTAAGGGCTAGCGGATTTTAAATTTTAGGGATCCACCTCTGAAAAAATGGATGCTATACAACAATGGCTTAAATATTTTCAGAAGCCTAATTTAATATGAGTAAATTAAACCGAAGTATGTATGAAGCTTACTAATTATTGAATTTAGAGAATCGTCTGAAACGTTTGACTTAGGGTGTATTTTAAAAATCTCACTTCGACGGCTTTTCATTTGAAAACCGACATTTTGCTTTGTATCTAATTTTTCTTCCTTCGATCTCAAAACCTTTATCCATTAGCGTCCTACTGTTCAAAGCTAACCCCAGTCAACATGAAAATGTTCTTTGATTTCTGTTGACAAACCAAATTAAAGACAATAATTATTACCATTATTTTCAAATCCCAGTATGCAATAAGTGACCATATTTACCTTTAGTTGAATTAATCTTCCAGATATTCACCAATAAGACCATGTTAGTATCAGTGTTGAATATATTCTGAAACAGAAAATAAATATATTTTATTCAGTCACAGGAAATATATTCAATGCATCATGTTAACAAGAACAAAAGAAAAGCAAGAGGTTGTCTTAAACTCGTTCCATCGTTCACAATGCTGATAAAAATCACATCCTTTCAAATGACCAAAAACTCGTTAATTTTTTACGGTTTATTAACCTTTTGCAGGTTATTAAAAGCCAGATAATATTTTTAGATTGTAAGAAATGATTGAGGAGATAATAATAATTAGGTTCCCGACAAAATCCAAAGACGGATATGCAGTGTGATCGATCCTGTCTTGTAGTCGCGACTCCAGTCATTTTCTCATCGACGTAATGTCGACTTCCCTCTGTCTTTTTATGTAAATATTTTCATGGCATCTGCTCTGACGAGCTACTTTCACTGGTGCCTCGACTGCATGAGTTTTATAGCGTTCTACTTGGTTGGTATCTCAGTCCTACCCTTTTACTGTCGAAACAGTTAAATGTAACCGCCTCTTCTACTCCAACAGCTTCTTCTCTCGCACTTCCCAACAGTGGAACTCCCTTCCTCTTACTTGCTTCCCTGATAAATATAATCTTCAAAAATTTAAATGTAATGTCAATCGACATCTTCTGTTGCCTTGATTGCTGTTCTTCTTTGTATCCTGTCCCCTTCTACTTTTTATTCTTTCCTCAACGCCTCTATACACAGTCTTTTTTCCCTTACACGCTCAGTAGCCGCTTACGTAGTAGTGGCATTTCCGCATTCACAAGCGGTAACCCATCTAGCTATTGACCAGGTTCGACGTTATTTAACTATCGGTGATCGTCCGAGAAGCGGTGTTTCAACGTGATATCGTCTCAAGTCCATATACCGTTGTATCATCTCTGTAGATATTCACTAAAAAAATAATCTGAGAACAATCTTAGGCAGTCTTTTATTGGAGTACCTATATTATTTTCTTTCTAACTCTCAAAACCCTATCTTCTCGGCAGTCATTCTAAGCGTATACTTTGTAAAAACGCATTGAAATATTATATTTGCATGCGAGACGATGCCTAATTTGCATATCAGAAGAAACGGACAATATAACAGGTCTACATGAAATAGCATCAGTAGTAGTAATCTATGTCATCTTGACAGACTGACCAAACGACTTGTGTGTCGCTAACACTCATCATTTAATAGATAACCTCATAAGTAAATGTGTCTATAGGTAATAGAGGTATATTCTTAAGTTAACTAAGTTGGACACAAAACAAAATGGTGGCATTTACAATGAGAATCGAATTTATTCTCCCCCAGTAAAAATTCGTCAGTGGCACTAAATTATTATCAATCAAACAACACTGCGTCTTGTTTAAGAAACTTTGAATAAATATTATTAATAAAAGAAGTTTGATTGACAGGAAATGTTCAGTTGTTTCCCATTGTGGAACCCCGTTAAAAATTGTAGAAAAATTCATTATATTTAAATATCACTAAGAATCTCAATTGACGAACTTCTGTGCAGAAAGTAGTCTCCAAATTTGAATTTACCCATTCGCATTTATTAACCAATCAGCGACTCTATATCAAACACTCTCTTGATATATAAAATAATTAGGGTACTGAAGAATCTTGAAAGTGTTTTCAATGCATTTCTCTTATTCGTGTAAATAATCCGAGCTGCGTATTCATAGTGCATATTCAATGCGAAACAAAAGGTTTATAAAATATTCCAAAACAAATACGGCCCCTCCTTATAAACTGAATTAATCAAAAATATATTATACTGCCGACTATCATATCTACAATCTTACAAGCCTCTATCGTAAAAGTTGTTACATCCAAAACAATAAAAGACATAATCAATACTAAACAAAAGAATAAGCTAAAACCTGAAGGAGGAGTTTACTCCATCGCCTGTAATAATTGTCATAAATATACAAACGAGAAACCTCAAGGAATCTAAATAAAAGATTATATGAACACAAAAGGGACATTTTACAAAATAATACATCAAATACATTAGTTGCCCACTGTAACGAGTCTGGCCAAAACATTCACATAAAAAAATTCTACTCAAAGGAGAAATAATTCAATAGAAAATGCTGTAAAGGTCTAGAGAATTATATAATCATTATCGCAAGGTCATCAACAGTCAATTTTCACCCTGGCTCTTAAACATTTCACCCTTTCCTGGCAGATCTTCTATTATCACAGTATGGGATACCTACTTACAGAAGTGATATAAAGAAAAAGAAAAAGTCTCTAAATGAATTTGGCTAGATGAAAAAAAAAAGGAAGAAAACAATTCTAAAATTTGCAGCGGTCCTCTGCTGTGCGAATGTGCAGTATAAACCACAGGTTGGCTCTGTGGATGTTGAACAAAAACAAAATGTGCCTGAGTGAGTCTACAATGAGCGTCTACAATAGGGATTGGCTAGCCACCATAATAGATATATATATATATATAGGTACCCTCGAATATATATATGGCATATATATATATATAGCATATATTATATATATATATATATATATATATATATATATATATATATATATATATATAATATATATATAAACACTAATATTCTATGGTTATAATTTATTACATTGGAATCGTAATCACGATCCAATTCATTTTAAATAAATATATATATATATATATATATATATATATATATATATATATATATATATATATATAGATATATAGATATGTATTGAGCACTCTTTTAAGAACAGTAATTGTTGGCTATTGGAATTTATTCCGTATATAACCTTGCTATATATATATATATATATATATATATATATAAATATATATATATATATATATATATATATATATATATATATATATATGAGTGATGATTTTTTTTTATTATTCCGGAGGAAGTTATTAGTTTTTATTTACGTTAGAATATGTAACTAAGCAGATACGAATATTTTGATATTCTGAGACAAGGATTAACCAACTTATAATTGTCAAATTTCGCTTTAATTTTTATCTTTTCATATGAAACACTGAAAGTCAAGCGGGACTGCTACGTCACATCTAGTCTCCAATATGATAATGAATGTTAGTCATTCTCGCAGATTAAGAAACTTGAAGCGACACAAATATGGTTCTACTTAGGAATATTCTTAGAAACGGAGTAATATTGCTGGGCTGCTATTTAATATATAATCTCCCATATGCCAGCGAATGTTGGACAGTCTTTTGACAGATGAAGAAGATACTTGAAACAGACAAAGATGCGGCTCCACTTAGAAATAAGGTAAAGAGAGCCGGAATGATATGTAATATTTAATCTCCTATATGCAGTGATGGCATCCTACCGGTTCGCCCGAACTGATTCTTAAAATTATAAAGGCTTAGCGAACTCGTTGTTGGATTATCCGAAAATAATTTTATATATTAATAGCCGATGGTTTACATAAAATGTTAGTTACGCTGCGCTCGTGCGTGTGCCTAAGGAAACTCTAATAGATACACGCCTACTAATACAGCTATAAACAGCAGTCAGTGCGGTAGGAAAAAAAGAAAAAGAAAGGCATAGATTGATAACGGAAGCTGTGTAGAAAAAAATAGTAGAGAGAGAGAGACAGACAGACAGACAGACAAACAGAGAGAGAGACAGAGACAGAGATCTTTAGAACTACAGCGATTCAGTTCGAATATTCCCCGAGAAACCACAACTGATGACACTAGAGTCAAAAAGCATCATACTTCTGAACAGAAATATGATGAGGACAGAAATTCAATCTGGAAATATCTTAATAAATAAATGTTTTCTATCAAATTATCAATATTTTAAGCCATACTATAAAGTGATTTGTTTCCATTCTCAGATTGAAAAATGGACAGAATAGGTTCTTAAAGATTACCTGCCTTTATAGAACCGGTCCCTGGATATTTGGGACAATTTTGATAAAAGAAATCGTTTTGAAGTTAAAAATGTTTCAAATCTTCTGGTCATAAATATGATAGGCCTTCCATTGGATCTTTGGAATTGCAGCGATTCCATCCAAATGTGGTTCAAATAAGCATAACAGAGCTGATGACACTAGAGTAAAAAAGCATCAGACTTCTGAAGAGAATATCATGAGAACAGAAATTCAATCTGGAAATATAAAAAAAATGTTTTCTATGAAATTATCAAAATGGTTTAAGCCTTTTTGATACTATAAAGTGATTTGTTTCCATTCTCAGATTGAAAAGAAAATAAGCAGAATAGGTTTCTGAAGATTACCTGTCTTTATAGAACTGGTTCCAGAATATTTGGGACCCCATTATTGCCTATATAGCAGCGGATGCACAGAAATGTCCTCACAACTGAAGAAGTATCTTGAAATATGAGGGGGTAGAGTTTCACCGACGAATACCATGGACAGAATAGATGAGTAAGGATGAAGTTTTAATGAAATGGGAACTTCAACATAGACTTACAATCGGAAAGAGACAGTTAGCACTTCTAGGAAATTTATTGATTTGATTGTTTAACGGCATATCAACTTTTTATGTGTCATTTAACGCCGGAATTTTCTGGGGAGCTATGATGTAACAATTTGAATACATTGATACTCAGTTTTTGTCCATATACATGTTTGTGTGGACATAATTACTAGAGACGGTGATATGTGGGTTTTATGTTGTAGTTTTGCAGAAGTTATATTTGGAAATACAATTTGATTTCTTTAAGAAATTTTAAGATATTATAAGGAATAAAGTTATGAAAGATTTCTTTCTTGATCGTTCTTTGATTGGTTCATTATGTTTAGCAGCATATCAACGTCTATGGGTTTTCATTTAATATCAAAAGCTAAACATTTTGAAGATAATTTTATGGCTTCAACTACAGATAAAAAGTATTATTGATCATTTTACTATAAAATGTATTGCTGGTCATTTTGTTTTATAATTGTATTCTTGTTAATATTACTATAAATATGTTTGGTTGCTATGTTTAAATTTATATGTGTTTAAATATAAAAGGTTT